TTCAGAAAACAAAAAGAAGGGTAGAGCCAGGGGTTTGAAAAGATGTGACTGGTAACAAAAATAAACACTTAAACTTTCTTATGCATACCTTTTGAATAATATTTTAGTAAATTACTTGTTTCAATGGGCTGGTGTTTGATTTTTTAAAGAATTTAATAGGTTCATTTTAAACTTTAAAAAGGGCAAACCAAAGCTAAAAGTTTAACTAAAAAAGAAAAATCCTCAAACGTGAATCTATCCTCTTGAATTGCCATATAAAAGTTAGGGTTAGAGGAGAATTTTTAACTAGGCAGCAATTCAATATTTACGTATTGACACACAATAAATAAAAGACAAAGAAGCACAATATAAAATAAAATAAAATAAAACCTTAGTCATCAAAATTTGTTGAAAAATAATTCTTTTTGTTTCTATCTTAGCAAGGAAGTAAGGATCTCACATGTACTATTGTTCAAATCTTTATTCTAAGGTAATTTTTTTACTTAAAATCTTGTCTTTATATGATAAAATATTCATACTTTAGTTTTACTTTGATTTAGATAGTGGATTATTTTTCTAGGGAATTGTAGTTTATGATTTTTTTTATAGTTTAAAATTATAAGTTTTTTACTCATTAAATAATTGAAATAAGGGTAGGTGTGTGTTCATTCTGTTGCAAGGATTTAGGAGGGCCAAATCAGAATTTGAAGTCTTTGTTTTATGATTATGTTATTTCAGTATTTTGGATGATTTGTATAGAAATAGTTTTTATTTGTTCTTTACTTGGTTTTAAAAATAATAAATTTATTTTTGATACCCTTGTTTATATTAACTTTGTTTTTTGATACCATTGTTTATTTATTTATCTCAAGTAAATTAAATTTAGAATTGTTGAGGGATATTGTAGAACTTTTGAATTTTATGAATTATGATTATGATTATGATTTGTAATTGAAATTTTAATTAGTTTTCAAGAACAAAATGGTTAATATTTTACGATGCAAGTCTTTGGGAAATTCAAATTATGCACAACATGAAACTCTTCACATTGTAAATGAGTCTCAAGTTGCCCACATAAGTAATCAATTGCCTAATAATCTACTTAAGAATTCAAATATCAAGATAAGTCTAGAAGGACAAGTTTTTGCTTCCATAGGTTATGTGACTTTGAAAAATATATGTAGCAATATTTTAATTAAGTTTAGTGATAAATATGATTGTATATAACGTAATATGTTTCTACTTGTAAATTTTTTTAATAGGTAATGGAACTTCTAATAAAAAAGGAAGGGGACCAATGAAAAATACAAAATTGACCAAAAAGAAAGCCAAAGGTAAAAAACTTGCTATCCAATTTCCTCTTTCGTACTATAAAGTATGTGGTAAGGATGCCAATATCTTTAAGGCAAAAGTAACAAATTGTATTCTGGAAAATGTACCTCTTTAAGTCACTAATTGAAAAAAAATTCCTCAAAATGATATTAAGATAATATGGATCTTTTTAAAGATATGTTCTTTTACAAATACAAAATTTAATATGATAAACAGTTGGCTAGTTTTTGTGAACTTGTTTCCTTTATATATAGATATTTTGCATTTTATGGTTCATATAGGTAAATAAATCCAAATAAGCTCCATATAGTTTTTTATTATGTTTTCAATACTATATTATCCTAAATTTTTTATTTGAATTGTAAAACAAGTTTACCTTTTTTGATGATACATATCCCTATGAAATGAAACATATGAAATGAAACAAGTGCAAGCTCAATATAAGAATTGCCATTATCATTTCTACCAAAGCTATCTCAAAAGCAATAATTGTCCAATTGATGTGGATCCAAATGATTGGCAATGGCTAATCACTAATAAATGGACTACAAATTTAATATATTTTTTTATTTATGCTATAAAAATATTTTTTTATCATAATGTAGGCCCAAAGTGAAAGAAACACAGCTAACACTGCATGAAAATGGAGATTTAGTGATTACTTTTTAGCGACATTTTTAAATAAATGCTACAAAGTTTCGTGTTTTTATAAGGTTAACGGCATTTTTTTATAAAACACAACTAAATTCTTATATAGCGGCATTTGAATTTCAAAACACCACTAAAAATAAAATTTTATGGCATTTGTTGACCTAAAAGCCGCTATATACTTTGATTTTTATAAATTTGGTAGCATTTACATAAACGCAACCAAAAACAAAATATTTTTTGGGGTTATTGAAGGCGTTTCTGCTAAAAATACCTTGAATAATCTCAAAAAAAGGAGGGGATTATTGAAGGCATTTTTCGTCAAAAACTCCTTGAATAATTCCCTTCAATAAACACCATGAATAACTCCATTCAACTTTTTGTAATAGATTATTCAAGGTATTTTCTAAAAATACCTCAAATAATCCCAAAAAAAAATTGAAAAGGATTATTGAAGGAGTTTTTGGCCAAAAACACCTTGAATAATCTCATTCAATTTTTTGAAAGGGATTATTCAATGCGCTTTTGGCCAGAAATACCTTGAATAACTCCATTCAATTATTTGTAAGAGATTCTTAAAAACATTTTCTAAAACGCCTTGAATAATCCCTAAATAAAATTAGAGAGGATTATTGAAGGTGGTTTTAGTAAAAACTACCTTGAATAATCCCTTTCAATTTTTTTAATTAAAGGAGATTATGCAAGGTATTTTTGACCAAAAATACCTTGAATAATCTAAAAAAAAAAATAGAAGGGATTATTATAGTCTTATGAGGTATCATCCCATAAAACCTTATAACTCTCTTACACATTTTTCTCATATCTAACCCTATAGAGACTTCATCTATTTATAAACATACAAACTTGCCTATTAAGAATAATTTTTCTTTAGAATTCTTCTTATGCAAGTCAAACTTACCTATTTAAGAATATTTTTTTCTTACAATTCTTCTTTTACCAGGCTTCTTTTTTATCAAGCAATATCTAACTAATCACAAACAAATCTCTTATGGGATTTGAGTCATTATTCTTAACAATCTTTACCTTGACTCAAATTCCATCAAATTATCTGTCTTTGTACTAATATATGTGGCTCCACCTATAATAGAAGTCTCACAATCTTCTCTTATGTGTCTTCACGCTTCATGCAAACTGATACTCAATCATCAAAACTTGAACGTGAACTCTTTTCTTGAAACAAGGTCCTCTAGGCTTGCCTCTTTCCATGACTCGAACCTTTAGTTCTAATACCACTTGTTAGACTAAAAAGCCCTAATCTAATCACACCAGCGGAAGCGAAATCAATCAATTAATCACATAAAAATAATAATTTAACGTGGTTCGATCCAATCGACCTATGTCCATGGATGAAAAACAAGATCTATTAGTTATAGAGAATTACAAACTTACATCCATATTAAGCATTCACAATTAATACTTTTAGACTCTCTCAATCTCCTCTAATTCTATGGAGTATTCTTAATCTAAATAAATACATACCCATATGCACCCATGCACCATACCTATGTGAACCCTTTCAGTTTTCTCTAGTCCACTCACAAACATTCACACCACCATACCTATGTAAACTATCTCATTCTTTTCTAGTCCACTCAAACATATACACCTATAAGGACGTTAAATCCCTAATAGTCCTATAGGGTGTCTATCTCATAAAATCTTACAACTTTCTTAAATCTTTTTCTCATACCTAACTCTCTAGAGACTTCATCTATTTATAAGCATACAAACTTGCTTATTAAAAATTTTTTTCTTTTAGAATTTTTCTTTTGTAAGTCAAACTTACCAATTAAGAATCTCTTTTCTCTTAGAAGTCTTCTTCTGTAACTCTTTTTTTTATCAAGTAATATCTAACAAATCTCAAATAAATCTTTTATGGGATTTAAGTTACTATTCCTAATAGAAAAAAAAAAACTCATCTAAAAATGTCTGAGGAATGGTTAAAATATGGTGAATTGACAAAAATTTAAGTAATGGATGACAGATTTGGGTTCAGAGTGAACAAGTAGATTAAAGAAAAAATAAATTAAAAGCAAAAGTAACATGTTGCTTATACTTTTATTTTATGAAAAATGTCATATGATAGATATTGATTAATATCTATAATTATTGTCTCATACAATTGGGCCCAGCAATAACTTTTATTTGAGCAGCCTTGCTTTAACAAATAAAAGTAACTATGCTTTCCAAAGAATATAATTAAGACAGCTAGATGATGCCCAATGTCATGTTCCTGTGGGAGTGGTGAATTAATCTAATATTGTATATTAAAGTTTTGCTAGGTATACAAGAGTCTATTTAGAAGGATTATGACTTAATTTTTGTGAGAATGAAAATAATAATGAAAGTGAAATTAGTTACTATAATAGATTAAAATTAATAGTAGAATATGTTTGGATGTAAAAGTGATGATGATAGTAGAATGAATTATAATAAAAAGGAAAATGAATATTAAAATTATTAAATTAAAATTTTATATAATAAAAATTTTAATTATTTAATATTTATAAAATTAATAAATTATTATAAGTTATTAAATTATTTCTATGTTAAACATTTTTGTTAATAAATAATTAAGAATTAATAAATTTATCTTGTAAAAAAATCGTTTGAAAACTTTTAAATAAAAAAATAAAAAATAAAAAATGGACAAGTGTTGAAAAATAAAACAAAGGGAGGATTATTAAAAGAGGAAGAACTTTGTGATTGAGCTTCACAAATTTTCACTGGACCCATAAGGGTCTCAGTGTGTAATCAGTGTTACGGAACGGTGGAACGCTTAAATCAAATCAAATCAAATCTCAATTATTCAGGACTGTGAAAACTTCCTCTGCTCTGCTACCATGACCCTAGACATGCCATTCACCCCAAAAAGTCCATTTCTGCTCCATGGAGTAAAAATTGCTGTTAGACAAACTTTTGCTATTTTGAAGATTTTCATCTATAACAAAAATTGATAAGTTAATTCACAGGTAGTCAAAAAATTGAAAAATAGCTGGAAACCATATAAAAATAACTGAAACTTCGAAACATCATATATTTTACTAATATAGTGAATAAAAGAAAGAAACATTAATTGGCTTCATATATTTCATTCAATTACTTCATCATTTAGAAGATCGAAATGTTCAAGAGATTATATATATAATAATCTTTGACATTCTTTCTTGATTAGTCATCTCCTTGAATATATATTATTACTACTGAGTACTGACATAGTACTGCTAGCATTCCAGGGGGGCATGTCCAGTACCCTTGCCAATGGTGGCTAGCTAGGTGTATATACTATAAATACTCTCCGAAAAAGCTAAGAGCGAATCCGAAGTGGATCGTCTTGCTGTGCTGGTATAGGTAGGTGACCTTTCTCTTGCAAGCTCTTGACTGTTTCATATAGGCACTGCTTCACAGGTGTGAACTCCAAACCCAAGTCCTTGAGCTTTTGGTTTGAGAACTTGTAGGGTTTTGCTCTTGGGTTCCTCTCATCTGAGCACCTGCATTATCAAATACCAGGATTACAGCATCTTATTTTCCATAATTGGATGAAAATGTAGATTGAAAACAACAAGGTACTTTCATGAAAAATGCACATCAATATGTGGAAGAAATGTGAATTATTTAATTTTTTTGCTTTTTTTTCTGCCACTTCCCATTGTTAGGATTATTTGGTTTGATTTGTTAGGAGTCACGTGTTTTTCAGCTACCCTTCCATTTATCCCAGTTCAAAGACAAAAGCCTAGATCTATTTAATTATAGAATAAGTATGAAATTCTCAAACACCAATCCTCATAGGAGGGGTAGGAGGGACCCATTTTTGTCCTAGCTGCAGCCTCAGAATTCAGAAAGCTCCATGTTTGTAATTCAGCTGGTGGGTAGAATAGAATATCCATTTAACCCAACTCTTTTGATAATTTGACAGACATGGGGGTAGGTGAAAACCCTTCTCCACCACTATTTTTATTAACTTCCAAGACATAATCGCTTTCACCAAAAATCCACTTCTTATCCGAGTAGTGGGTAAAGATTATGCCATTTGTCAAAGCTGCTGCAACCGACTGCACAAGAAACTGAAAATTTTCCATTACATTTTCATGGACTAGATTATTAATTGATCTTTATAGAAGAGGGACATCAGTTTCTTCCTGTCATTATCATCGAACAGCAAGGTTGACGTTTACAAATCAACAAGTTATGGATTATCTGCAAAGCCCTCGCTTTGAAGTGTGGCTGAGGGTAAGGTCTTAGTTTTATTTCCAATGTCAGGTAAAGATTACCAAGCAAAAATACGTCTTGGTTTTCAAACAATTGACAATTCAAATTAGCCAATTAATTAATACAATGAATGAGACATCCATTCTCATTTTCCAAAACGTGTCCCATCTTTAAAATTAAACTTTCTAACCAGCACGGCAAAATTTTATTTCCTAATATTTTTATACAAAAAGCTGTGATCTGATAATAAAAAAAGATTGTAAGTGTTGAAATTTGATATTTAGATTTGTTAGATACAATTTTTTAAAATTAACAGCAAGAATCAACTTATGTAAATTCTGAATTCAAATACTTGACATTTTAGTAGGTCAAAGAGTGTGGAAATAGACGAGTTCTTCTCCACCTATATAATTCTTGATGGAAAGTAATGGAATTGGGTGCAAACTAACAGAAAAATAACAGCTAGCTGGACTGCATTTTGATGTTGTTTCACTTTCTTAATTACTTCAACTCAAATATTATCCTGTTCTTCCACTAATATTTTATGCCATGTAAATCTCAAGGTGGACCCTATTATTTCATTGTTTTATGAACAAAATCTTTGATAAATCCTGATTATGCCTTATTTTTCTTATGTTTCAATGACTAGAATGATAAAATAATGTATAAAACCTTTTTAAGTTTGTTATGATGTTAACCCAATTTGCCAATTGAAGAGAAAATTGAAAGAGCTGAGTTAAGTGTTGACCATTTTGTGAAGTTCATATGGTAAAAACAATGTAGATAAGTAATTAGCAGTAAAAAACTTACCTGGTAGGGATGGGATACTCAGGCAAGAACTTGGCTAGGATCTCTACCACCTCTCCACGGTGGAGAACGCTCTCGGCGCAGAGGTATCGGCCTGAGGCAGAGGGATTCTCAAAGACAAGAATGTGCGCTAAGGCAACATCTCTAACATGAACATAGGCTTGAACTGAATTGGCATAGGTCTTTGCTGAGCCGGTTAAGTACTTGAGGATGTGAACAATGCTAGCATTTACAGTTGATTGCAGCAATGGACCTAAAACCAAAACTGGGGCTATCACCACAAGGTCCACCCCTTTTTCCTTGGCTGTTTCCCAGGCTGCCTGCTCTGCCACAGCCTTCCCGTAACAATACCAATTCTGCAATTTTGTATGAAGCATGTGCCAATCATTGAATCCATGTTTTATTGTATTTCAAAATTCTAGACTAAACGGCTATTATTCGTTTCAAAAATTTCATTAGCTCTAATAACTAAAGACCAAAATAATAACATACAAGGAAAATGTAATTAAAAATTTATATATATATATATATAAAATATTAAAAATATAAAGTAGTATAGTGATTTTTTTTATTCCAAATATATTTTTTCACTGCAAAGCTGATTGTTATTTGTTGTTACAGTTGCTGTCGTTATTTTTATTCAAAACTTAATCAGGTTGTTAATTTTGGGGAGAATTTGGGGTTTGGCATAAGTAATTAGTAATTACAGCCATAAGGAAGAAAGAACTAATGTGACCTTGGTATTCTTGCAGAACTCCAGGTCACTCCAGCAGGACTCATCGACCACGACATCAGGACTCCTATTGGGGTCCATGTACACGGCACCAATCGAAGACGTGAACACCACCCGTCGAACCTTGGCCTCTGCCGCTGCCATTATCAAATTCTTAGTCCCATTCACGGCTGGCTCCACCATTTGTTCCTTTCAATTAATAAAAAATCATCACTATATATCATATCTCATTAACACAAACACAAACACGAACAATTTGCAACACACATATCGCGTATCACAATTTTTTCTCAGGTATCAATAACAATCAAGTATATATATAAAAATATTACTTCTTAAAGAAAAAAAAACATTGTTTACAAAAATAATCAAAACCAATAATTTTGAGTTTGTAAAAGAACTTCTAGTATTTAGTTACTAAATTTTTTTTTTTTATCTTGAAGAGATATTGATCTAATTTAAATTATAAATTATATATTTAATAAATCTTTTACGTATTATCAAAATTTTGACATAAACATAAAAATCTTTTGAACTAAAATTAAATGATCATTCAAATTTATATTGTTTTGTTGTAATTAATTAAGTTATCAAATATTTATTTTTACCAATTAAGTCTTTATTAAATGAAATTCATTTAACCGCAAAGACTAATTTTCATCCAATCAATAATTTAATTAAGTAAAAATAAATATTTAAAGACTTAATTAGATAAAAATAAATATTTGAGATCTCAATTTATTATAATAAAATAATAAAGATTTAGATAATTATTTAATTTTTATTTAAGTGTTTTTCTTATATTTAAGTCTAATTTTTTATTGAACTTTATCCACCTTTCTATCAAATTTTAAATTTAAATTTTTATTAAATTAATTTTAATAAAAATTTTCATAAATTTCATCCAAAAGAAAGAATTTTGTGTAATTTTTTTTATAATACACGAATATCGTCAGATTCTTCTAAGTTGTATCCATTGGGAGGCTGGCCCACTATGCCATTGTTAAAGCTGCACTTTGACAACAGGACCCACCATATGACAAAATTTGTTAGTTGGAAAGCATTATCCAAAAAACCTCATGAAAATACATTTCAACTTGGTCTTAGGTGAGCTGTGTCCTTCAACTTTTTGGACAAAGAGGAAGTAAAGTTGATTGATCTTTTTCTCTCCGAACTTTCTCTAGAACCAAATGGGATCATCAGTAAAAGAAAAGCAAATTAATTAAAACATTAACAACTTACAGGATCATCAGTCACAGGTGAAGCTGTGTGGAAAACTCCATCACAACCAATAATGGCTTCTTTAAGAGACTCGTAATCAAGAAGATCAGCTCTGTAAAGAGTTAGTCTCTCATTTGCTCCTTCAAGCTCTCTCAGATGAGCATTCTTGGGATCATCTAAAGAAAAACCCAACTTCCAGAACGTGTTCATAAAACCATTTAACAGAAAACAAATACTAACAAGAAATCTCTCCTTAGTCTTTACATACATAAAAGAAAGAGAAACCAACCTGGGTTCCTTACTGTGCCTTTGACAGTGTAACCTTTTTCAAGAAGAAGCTTGACCATCCAGGAGGCGATGAAGCCACCAGCGCCGGTGATACAGACGGTTTGGCTACAAGGGGAAGAGCTGTCAACTAGCATATTTCGTTTATGGGAATTTGGAATGTTGTTGGGTGATGAGATTCTAATTTTTTTGTGAAAATTTGTCAACGTAACCGTCTTTTTTTTTTTTTTTTTTCTTTTGATGCTGTGGTTTATTCTTGTTTGGGATGGCACCGAGGTTTGTATTTATAGGGCAAAAAATGACTACCTTACCTACCGCGCGCTTGTGAATTAAAATTAGAAGGGAAGGTACGCTAAATATCCTAATTTTAACACGACATGACGTGATATACAAATGTAAAAAAAAAAATAAAAGTTTTATAATTTAAAATTTTAATAAAAATAAAAAATTATATATATTTTATATTTAATATACAGATAAAAATTATGATATGATGATTTTTATATTTTACATATATTTAATATAAAACAAACGCAATACAAATTATCATGTCAATACATTCCTATGAGACATTTTTGTTTTTATAATTTCATTTTTAATTTGTACAAAAAATTAAAATTAAGAAGTGACTTAATAGGTCTTGCTTTATTATATATTTTGTCATTAGCTTCTTAGGTGATATATAGTAAGTTGTTTTTGGTGCCCACACTGCTTTGGTTTCACTTGTGAATTATTATTATTATTATTATTCAAATTTAGGTAATAAGCTTTATCTAGGCTTAACTAAACCTTTTCTTTATAATGAAGAAAATAGTACAAGGGTATTATGGAGTATATTATGGAGTGTAATCCTTCCAAAATTCATCTCCTAATTACAATTTCCACATTTCATTCATATATACTTAACACATACTTAACAAGATTATGTTGAATTTTGAACAAATTTTTTTAAAAAATTATATCAATATATATAATATAACCATCTCGATCTTGAACTTTGATTCAATTGATCATGTCTAAATATGAAATTATAAAATATTTTTATTTATTAAATTTATATATAATTATTATTAAAATTTTAAATCGTGTAATTTTCATTTTTTTCGTATCATATAACCTTATCATATTTAAAATTATTGAATTTAATCATGTTTTCACTTACAAAATAGGATTTTTTTTTGTACAAAAAATTTAAGAGTAGATAAGTTGGTCAATTTCTTAGATCAAGATAAAATATATCATACCTAATAATATAAAATAAATGGTTACAAATTGTGCATCTGAGGCGATCCTAACAAAAAATTACTAATAATATTCAAATTCAAAACTTTTTTATCCAAAAATATAAATTTTAATCAATTGAACTAATCACTTTTTAATTACAAAATAAGAGTTGCTAATAGTACGAGATCTATGTTGGAAAAAATAACACCCACGCGCAGCAACCACACACAAAATAACAAGCTCATATCAAGAATAAAAATACACAAATATATTTGGTTCGGCCTAACTCAAAATGGCCTACTCCAAACCTAATCCACTATCAAATAAATCTTTACAGTTGTGAGACTTTTAAAATGAGAAAAGTCTCATAAAATTCCTTACTCAAAACTTAACCCAAAACCCAATTATACTCTTTAATAGCCTACTCACTTTACTATTCTCTTAGTGTCTAACTCTCTGGGGTTACTAAACTAAAACCAAAACATCTTATTTATAAAGGTGAAACCCTTTATACTTTTACTAAACTCCTGATGTGGGATACAAGACAAATTCAAACTTACTTAACTTTCGATGTGGGATTCTGAGATTCAAGGTAAATCCCAACAAATCCTCATTTGACTTGAATCTCCAAACACTTCAACAGTATCTGCAAAGCTAACATGCTTACCTTTCTTCTTTTCTTTCATCACAGGCATTCCAACAACTGAACCTCCATCAAACATGTACAAGTGATTGACCCTATTCCCTTATAGAATCACACTATCATTCTTATACACTTTCAACCAATCATTACTACCATAAAATGTGTACCCCCGAGAAGCTAACTCACCTAAAGCAATCAAATTGTAATGACAATTTGATACATACCTTACATGACGAAGTGTCCTAATAACACCATTATGAGATCTAAGGCGAACACTTCCAATGCCTTGAATCTGTACCTTTTTTTTGTTAGCAACCACAATATCCCCATACTTTTCATTCTCATTCAACTCCACAAAGCAGCTCCTATCATTGCAAACATGAACTATAGCAGCTGAATCAAAACCCAACCTTTATCACTTTTCAAAGTTTGAGTCTCATCCACACAAGTTGTCAAAACAACATCATCATCATCAAACACGACAGCAGCAGTATCACTCTTTTTTTCATCTAATTTCTTCTCATCATTCGCCCTTTTGAAAGCAGTCATATCCCTTCTCAGCTTTCTGCAGCGCACTTGGATATGTCTCTTCTCACCACAATAATAACATTTTACATCATTGTAATCTCTGTCTCTTGACTTAGATCTCCATCTTGATCCATCAATCCTCTTTTGAGTCTTCCCTTGATCAAAACCCTTTACAGCTAGTATACTCCCCCCAGGTGATGAGTTCTGAGCTCTCATAAACCTTTCATTCTCACGCAACAGGGCAGTCACATCATCCAACTTCAAAGTAAACCTGCCTACCAACACAGTCTAAACTAAAGGCCTATAAGACTTGGGCAAAGATGACAGCAAAATTAAAGCCTTCTCTTTATCTTTTAACTCATCAACAAAAATCGCTAGCAATTGAGAAATCAATCTACTAAACTCATTCAGGTGATTATGAAGACTCATACCTTCTTTCATCTTCAGAGAATACAGATCTATCTTCAAACATAATCTATTAGTTAATGACTTCGAAGCATAAATACCTTCAAGCTTATCCCACAAACTTTTCGGAGTACTGTCAGTCAACATATTGTACTTTACTTCTGGGGCTAACGTCAATCTAATAGTACTAATAGCCTTCTTCTGAATCTTATTCCAATTAGGATCAGACATTCCCTCAGGCTTACTACTCTCTAATGCTTGATCCAATCCTTGTTGTACTAATAGATCTTGAATCATACTTTACCATAACATAAAATTACTCTTTTCATCAAATAACGAAATCTCAAACTTAGGCATAGACATACCAGACATACCTTCTTTAGACATCTTCAAACACTGCTTCACGATCTCTTGAGCCCACGAACCTTAAACCTCGAACCTCGAATCTCGCTTTGATATCACTTGTTGAGAAAAACAACACCCACGCGAAGCAATCACATACAAAATAACAAGCTCAAATCAAGAATAAAAAAACATAAATATATTTGGTTCAATCCAACTCAAAATGGCCTACTCCAAACCTAATCCACTATCAAATAAATCTTTACAATTGTGAGACTTTTAGAATGAGAAAAGTTTCCTAAAACTCATTACTCAAAACTTAACCCAAAACCCAATTACACCTTTTAATAGCCTACTCACTTAGCTATTCTCTTGGTGTCTAACTCTCTGGAGTTACTAAACTAAAACCAAAACATCTTATTTATAAGGGTGAAACCTTTTATACCTTTACTAAACTCCCGATGTGGGATACAAGACAAATTCAAACTTACTTAACTTTCGATGTGGGATTCTGAGATTCTGAGATTCAAGGTAAATCCCAACAATCCAAACCTTATTGTCGATGACCTTTTCCCAAATCCCAACCTTTTTTTTTTTTTTCTTTTTTAATGATTGCCCTTATTTTTTTCAATATCAAATACATATTAGCATCCTTTCAACCTTTTATTTTATTTTTTAAAATAAATAGCTTTGATATAATTTAGTAAAGAGACGAAAGATTTGAACGTTGAAAGGTTTTTTTAAAATTTAAAATAATCCAATAAGGCAAAAAAGTAAAAAACTTATGGAAAAGAAGATATATTTCTATTACCCGAAGTTGATAATTATTTATTGAAAGCCGATCAATGAAAATAATATTAGGCTCTCAACATTTGTTAGTCACAAATTAAAAAGACGGGAATTGTACTTCTTGACAAACATATATAAGATAATGCTTAATAAATTCGTTTTTGATATATTATCAATATAATTTTTTAATTACACAAAAGGATATTATCTTAATTTAATAAATTATTTATTTTGTAAATATTATATTAATTTAATTTTTTGTTAATCAATTTAAATATTTTATCGTATTAAAATAATATTATCTCAAGTTTAATAAATACTTAATTTTTATTATTTTATATTTAAATTAAATCTCTTTACTTATAACTAATAGATTTTACATTGAAGCTTAACATACTGAAGCAAATTTTAATATTTGAAATGTTAAACAATCCCAATTAATACTCCAAAGGCATTAATTTATAATAATTTTGGTTTTATTTACACATAATTGACAATATCATTACTTTTTTTCTCTCAACTTTTGAATTTGGATCATTTAATTTAATATATCTGTGTTAAAAATTTATTAAGAACAGTATAAAATGGCTGGTAGAGAAAGATGATGATGTAACTGATGAAGAAGTGGACCTGTATCAGACAAAAAAAAGAAAAAAAAACCAATAGGTGCCAAGTATCAATCATGAGATGGCACTACACAACAGAGAATTGAACCATAAACGTTTTATTCATTCATAATTCCTAACAATGGCCTAACATTTTGACTTTCTTTTTTTTAATCTTGGTTTTCAATTCCTAAGTTAAGAAAGTCTTGATTTTGCTTGGGCCTATAACTATACAATGAAAGTAACCTACCAAGGAAATAATAAACTTGTCCTTTTATTGTAGACACCAATTTTGATTAATTAATTTTTTTTATATATTAATATTAATATTGATATTATTATTAATCTTTAAAAAAAAGGATAAAATGTAAAAAAAATCTTTGATTTCAATTTTGACAGCTGAAATCAAACTGCCAGAGTGATCCATCTTTCTTTCTGATACTGTCTAACTTGATAACATGAAATTAGATGACTAAAAGTCACTAGATAGGCACTCAAATTTTTCACAAAAAATTTGAAGAGATATGAGATTTGAAATCTCAAAAGCTCTATAAATAGGAGCTAAGTTCTGTAGGAAAAAGGACAAAGGGGAACAGAATTAAAGAAAAAACCAACAATCATAATCCTTTTTTACAGAGGAACCAACAGCAAATAAAAAAAAATTAAAAAAAAAACACCGAGAATGAAATTCTTGATCTAGAAAG